CCTGTTTCTATGACCCATTTGCATTCTGGTGACAGCCTCAGTGAGACTCTTAACACTCGCAATGAGTCCTTCTATTACGGGGTCTTTTGCTGATTCTACTTTTTGTGTGTGATTTATTGTGCCTGATCCAGTTGGAGGACCTCTTTCCATTATTCTGTCGGCTATACGCGCTAAATGAGATAATGAGGTTTCAGGATCTTGTGCATCCAAACAGTGTTGGACGTAGCATGGGAGAGCTTGTATCCATCCTTGTTTTAGGACTGCTTCACCCACTGTGTTATCACCCACTAAGACTTGGAGGTGACGTAAAAACTGTGACGGCGACCGATCACCTAGTGTTTCACCTTGAAAAAGTCTTTGGATTCTTTGACTATCTGATAATGATAAACGGTTCATTATCTCTCGTCTTAAGATGGTGTATGGTTGTGGTGATGGTGGACTTAAAATCAAGTCACGGACTTCTTTGGCGACTGAAGGAGGAAGGATAGAACACAAGTCTCTATAGCGAATCCCTTCAGATTTGATATTGTGTCTCGTGAAATAATGCTCTAGTTGAGCAAACCACAACTCAGGATCACTACGATCAAATTCTGGAAGTCGGGATTTCGTAGTCATAACAGTGTCTATCTCCACTGGTGACAAATCCTCCAGATTATGGGTTTCTATTGAGTCTGACATGAGGTATGTGACAAATATAGCAATAAAGTTAGCACAAAAAGTGGTTACTATAACACGAATAACTTAAGATAATACGGAATAAACTAGTTATATACTCAAATTAGTTTACGGATAATCAGGTCTACTTTTACGATTAAGTAAAAAAAATGTTAATAACAGAAATGAGGTTAAATTTGTGTTCAAAAAGGGCTCACCAATTTCGTGCCTTAAGTAACCCTCGTGCTATTGATAGAAGAAACCAGACAAGTAGTGAATAGGTCTTTATTTCGATCTTAGCGCGGTCACAGTGGAGCATGGGATTATCTGTTCAGACAAACAAAGGCTCTCAACATTCAATATAAGATAATAGGGAATATAACGCTTATACAAAATAAGGAAGTGAATGAATACTTGAACAATACTGTTTTGGCATATGCTTGGTTGTTTGGGGTCAACTCTTAACCAACCAACCTAAGCTGTTACAAGTAATTCCCAACATATTTAAGTTGTTCAGAAGTATTATTACACTGATCATCTTTGAAAAATTGCAAATATATTTGTCTCATTGAGGTTTTTGTGTATGAAATTCCCTACCATAGTCTGAGCAATTCCTCGTTTTCAAAGCAATATATAGCAGTTTGACTCTGAAATTTCGTTTTTATTCCAGAAAAACTAAGATTATTACTTCACCAGAGGGATTTCTGACGAAATCCAAAAATGAACCGGATTCGTCTAAACTTATTTCATGCTGCTTGTCAATAAAACATAGCTCATTCATCTGAAGCCGGGTATGTGAGATAAAAAGTCAAATAAGATTGATGAAACAGCACTACGCACCGATGTAAAGAATGTAGTTGTGAATTAAAGGCGTAAAGTTCAGAACGAAAACGAAGTTTTAACGCATTAAAAGGTTCAATTTCATTCGCAACCGATCCTAAAGTAAATGTGCATGAGTTCGAAGCCACAAACTAACTAAATAAAACACCTGTGATTCTTCTGAAGCTTTAAGACTCCATGTAGAAACAAGTAGCTTGGAACGAATAAAATAGTCACTCACGAAAAGGAGTCGGACTCGTCATTGTTTGATAATAGTTAGAATATCTTCTAAGAAAAATAAAAGCCTTTTGGATGAATTAGTGAGAAGGCAGATTTAAACTATATACATCCATATAATAGCTTTTAATGTCTAAGCTGACTAGTTATCAAAGGATATTTTCCACGACGAGCAGGGCCTTCGCTTTGATGATTAAACAGCTATGTCCAGCGAATGGTGTATAGCATGACAAAAGCGTTCACCTACAAAGTGAAGTGCTTACAAGTTAGTTTTTTCAAAGTTATGTCTGCCACTGCGAGCTTCAAATTCCTTACATATCAACAGACCTATTCTCGATTTGTCAGAGTCCCTTTACCACTCTATAGCAAAGTGGCTGGCAAATTTCTTAGAACCCGTTAGAAAACGCAACTGTTAACACTCCATACGTGATACTTTTGAATTTATTGAGCATACAAAAGAAGTGAATGTAAATGACAAAATTATGCTATCTCTATCGAATCATTATTTACTAATGTTCCACTTACAGAGACCATTAAATTTATCGGCAAGTACGTAAACAACAATGAGATTAACATCGAAATACCGGATGTTTATTTGAAGGAACAATTACTGCAGTGCACTTGCAATGTTTAGTTTACGTTCGACGACGTAATTTATAGACAGAAATATCCCCTCTGGGCCCATTACTTGCAGATCGCTTCATGGCCAGTTTAGAAAACAATAAACTCATAGCGACTATATAAAAACTTCACTTGTATGAAAGATACGTAGATGGTATCTTTAACGTTTGTGACAACAAATATGACTTCAGTCATCTTCTGCGGACATTTAATAATTGCCACCAAACAATAAAATTCACGTTGGAAGTTGAAAACAAACAAAATATTCATTTTCTTGACGTGGAAATGACACGAAAGGAAGATGGTACTCCAAAAAGATCTATCTATAGGAAACACATGTGGAATGGCCAACTATCAAGTTTCCACAGCTTGGTTCCCATTAGTCGAAAAAAACCTAATAATAACACTCGCAGCAAGAATACGACGAACCTGTAGTCAAGAAGTCATAGATGAAAAATTGTGCCACTTGAAGGAGATACTTATTAAAAATGGATGTGCTTCGATATTCATTGATAAGAACATAAAACCGAAGACAGAGATAACTACAGTAGAAAACTTTATACATGAACATCGAATTCAAGGGTGATAGAGCCACACATAACCTAAAAAGGAAAATTTCCGATTCTCTAAAAAGAACATTTCCGCAATAATATTGAGAATTGTATTCTCCAGCCGATCATTGTTCACCAATAATCTTAAAGATAAATTATCGCATCTGACCAACTCAATGTGCATTTATCAATTTACTCGCCCATGTGGAGCTAGGTATATAGGTCATTTGATGCGTACTTCATCCAGTAGAATTCAAGAACATCGTCCGACATGGCTAGAAAGAGGAGGAAGCGGCTCAATAAGGAGCTCAGTAGTCGAACATCTTGTGGACACAGGTCACCCAACCAAGACAAAAACTGCGTTCAAAGTCATCTACAAGTAAGTAGAAGTCTCTCCTGAAAAATTATACTGCATTTTCTTTGCACTGATTAAGCATTAGCCATACATCTGGAAAGACCAGAATTGTGTGTGCAAAAGCGATTTTTAAAACCTCTTCTTCTACCATGGTCCTGATGTCTTATGATTTTTATTTTTATACTTTTAGTTTCTCCTTTTCTTCATACTCTTCTTCCTTTGCAGCCATCTGCTTCACCCTACATCGTCCTCTTAAATTTTCTACCCCCAGCTGGTTCATTTTGTTTCCACGACCTCACAGTCAATATACCTAACAGAAGTTTATTATCAGTATAATTATCATCCTGTTAAAATAAGCATATTAATTTGTGATTGTACAGCTTTGAAAATGAATTCGCCGAAATGAGAACTCTTTGCTGAACTAATCTTTCTTATGTGATGGACCAGACAATGTATAAACGTGAAAAGTATCAACAATGTTACTAAAGATCAATAGTAATATTATTATAAACCAGTTAATTGTTGCAAATACAATTAAATATTTGGACTTTACTTAAGACCACCAACTTGATGCGTGTTCAGCTTTAGTCTGGTACTGTAAGTCCACAATTATAAATGCTTGGTGATGCCAATCAGGTTGACGAACTCTCCAGTAGTGTAATCCAATGTAATGTATTGTATATTCCCACTCATTCTATAAATGTAGGTAATATTTAATTTAGATTTCAGTTAACTCAATCACAAACGAAAATAGAACGAGGGATATGTGTGTAGCAGTGTATTTGTAAACAAGCCACAGTATGTCATACTAGTAGTTACACAACGGAAAATGTGTTCAAGGTCATTTACTAAAACAACAATCACAGTCATTTAATGATAAATATACATGCAGTGAAAGATTGAAAAAATAAATACAAATAATATTAAAAACTTTTTACAAAATAAGCTTGTCAGGTCTATCTCCACACTTAATTGAAGTTAGTAAAATATCATTGACTCCTAATCAAATTATTCATCAGACAGTTCAATGAATGTTACACAGTTTGCCGATAATCATCAAAGCAAAGGCACCAGACCCGCACTGACCATTAGCTTGCAATTAACAGGATAATGGGTCGCTGATTTTGTCTTGCACTTGTACTTCCATGCAAATCGAGTAAGCTCGCAATCGCGAATTATACATGCTTGTAACCTATATATCTGACAAGAAAATCTAGGGTGGTAATGTGACACAACCCGTGAAGTTTAAGACTTACGTTTACGGGAAGTATGTTTCTGTCAAGCATTTATTCTACATATGGTTCTTTGCATCATACCTGTCCCAACGCTAATCTAGTATTTCAAACATCTTAAACGTAATATAGAGAAACCACTTCAAAATAAAACGGGAGTGAGAAACATGTTTAAATAGTTCAGAAACAAAATCTTTATTTTAATAATAGAAATAAGCATATACGAGTTACAATATTTTCGAGTTTTTGAGGAATGAACTTATCAAACATAACTCTCATATTACCTTGACAATTCCGAAAATTGGATATGAACTAATATGAAATATGATGCTTGCTCTTCAAAGTTTGGAAAATCACATATAATTATTTCATACTACTTTTCTTGTGAATTCATGATGTTATACTTTGTCAAATTAGTAGTAAAATTGAAGGTCGTATGTCTACGTACGAAATCAAAAGATGACTCAGTTTCTCTCCGTAATTAGATTATTTATAGTTTACATTTTCTCCCAGTTATTCAGGGAAAAAGTGATGGATGAGACATGGTTTGAAAACAATAAACTGAATACGCTGACTGAGAAAAACACTCAGCTATTTCGTAGGTTAGTTATGAAATAACGATAATAAATTCAGAGGCATGTTTAATACTCATAAACACCTAATAGTATGTTTAGAACAAATTTCTGACAAAGTTCGGGTAAAAGACTTGTTATTAAAACAATTTTGTTTCTACGACCATTTATTTGTTATGGAAACCATTGATGGTGAGACTATAAATTATGGACGACCTTTAGCAACGATAGGCTAACCTTGAGAGTGTCTACCTACATACTAGGACTAACTGAGGGTTATAAAGCAGTTTGAAGAATAAGGATTATGATTTACAGTTGATGGTTTAGGTTAGGAATTAGATTTAGTGTTTTAATCACGAACTGACATAAGCTATAATGCCAAAATTCTATTTGGCCGAATAGGTGAATGAATTTCGCGCCAAAATCTAAGACTTGTTGACGTAAATCTGATTGGTTCTTCAATTAATTATAGTCTCGCCTACAATTATATAGATACAAAATTGTTAGCTTTCATGAATCGCTAACCCAAATTTTCCGGTTCTCGATAAAAAAAATCGCGAGGCCTTGAATTGGTCATAAATGATTAAAGCTATTTAAAAAGACACCAAATGTCAGTTAAAAAAACCAAGTGATGGTATTTGAACTTTTCCAACTCACACTTGTTTATAAGAAAAGAGAATTATTATTACTCGTACCTCCGACCATTTAGCGAACGCATTAGCTATGCAATTCACAAACTCTTTTATTTTTTCGTACTCATCCTGAAAACTATAACATTTATCATTCTATTCTCTAAACAGATCGTTTTATCCATTCTTTTTAAATTACATTTTGACCTTGTCAGTTATTTGCTTATCAGCCTTGAATTTTTATATGAGCGTAAACGTGTGCATTTCTTATACGACTCATCACATATCTGTAACTTCTTTTTGTCGGTCTATAAAAATTGATTCACGCTTAATTAAGTTGGCTCACTCGCTTTCTCTATTGCTTCATTTTGTTTTGCTTCGCTTCACGATTAACGATTGCACGAAACATACGCATTCAAAACTTCATTCTCATATTTGGCTTATTTAATTCCGTTATTCACCAACGCAATTTAAGTCTATGGTTACATACGAGGTTTGTCGACATTTATATTTCTATAACAAGCAGCAAACGATCTAACTAAAGTCAGATCTCGGGCCTCTAAAGATTAACTAGATCATTTTTAATCCGTACTTTTTTAAGCTCTTAAACGAACGATTTACTTCAGTATAGGGTAGTATGGGCTTTAGGCCATTCATATCGTTAAATAGTAATCAATCGATCAAACGGAATATAAGTAGAAGTTACACAAACAACGATAAAGTCGATCGAAATATTCCTTTTTGACCACATTTTGTGTATATAAATCAATTAATTTGGGTTGAAAATTTTGGACCTGGATGTCCTGTAGCTAATTACTTATGGATTTGACTGAGTTATCCACTATATCACAGTATCTTGGGTTAGTGAACTGTGAGGTATAAAGTTAGGAGAAGTATTTTGGTTTGCCCAGTTTGACATATTATGCCTTGAGAGTCTTATGAAGGCTCAGATTGCTCAATCCAAATCTAAACAAGTCTTGTGAGTCCTGATTCACATGATGTTGCAATGGGAGTTTAACTATTGAAAGGCCTTTTTCACATTTTACAAGCCAAACAGTTGAGTATTCTAGTTCACTTTGAGCTTATGCCATTAGATATTTACTCTACCATATTAAACGAAGTTTTTAGATCCATAGCCGTTGTCAAGCTATCAGAACGTTTGTGGTGACCTATTGAGGATAAAAATAATTACAAATAATTGTGTTACTATGAGGAATTAACACCCGGGAGCTATCGATTTTCATTTGAAGCCTTTAAATCAAAGTGAAACCCTAAAATTCATGTTTGATATAGTCTCTGAAGATCGTTAACCAATATTCTGTCTATCGTATACAAATTTATTACTGTTACCAAGCCTTTGGCTGCACTTTTTCAAGACAAATTCAATTGGTTTTCAACGGTTGCCTTGTAAAGTCTATATTTTGTACTATATCCCACTTATGTACACAATCAGGGATGCCGTCTTCAGAAATCGTATAAATATTTAAGTGCTTATTATTGCGAAATGATTTTTCTTATTTAATATCTCACTTTAGATGAATTACCAGGCAATCATATGAATTACATTTTTTACATTTTAAACACAGAGTATCAAGACTTGAAGAATCTTTAAATTCGCTGAGGAATATTAAACCAGTTGAAAGAACACAGTATGAATTGAGCAACAAAGTCAATGAAAGTATCTTAAAAGACAAAGTAATTACAGTTATGAATTCTTTCATCATTCTGGTTGTATTTAGTTAAACAAATTAAGTTGTGTTTTCGACCAGACACCATAAATTTTCCAGATTATAGACAGAATAATACTGCTTTTGGAAACTTTACCCACCTGAAAAAAATAAAAATGTCAGTCACTAGATTCAGTCAAAACTGCTCAGTCTTTATGGACTCAATGCACGATGTTAAAATTTGACTATCCATTCTTAACTGATAGCAATCAAAAATCCAAAAAAAGGAAAGTAGCGCCTAGTGAAAACAAGTTTTTTAAACGAATCAAATTTTCCATTAAAACTTCATTTAAATTTAAATGAAAGTTTCTTAACTGAAGTATAGATGAACTAGCATGAGACTTGCGCATATGTGTGACACTGTCTATGTTCAATAATAAATCTTGTTTTTCAAGATTTTAAATGAAAAGGTTGCTTTGCTTCTGTACAGACGGATTCTTACCTGTATAGGTTTGCTAAAACTTACAAATTTGAAGAGCAATGCAAACTTTTTGAATGTAATTTAAATTTCAGTCGCCGTTTTCGGATATTTCTAGCAAAAGACTAAAAATACGAAATTAAAACTTTAAGTCAACTACTCCTGTTTTGATAATGTAGTACGGTTTCTTTATCTATGATATTCATATTGTGACATTTCTAAGAGTATGAAACTAACACAACTTCATCAATAATATTTAATAATAGGAATAACTTTTAGATGCCAATGATGTTGAACACCATTATATTTCTGTAGGAAACGACATTATTAAAGGGAAAATTTTTTTGAATATAACTATTTCATAATGTAATTAAAATTCTTATAATCAGATTAATAACCTTATTTCTAGCTGTGTTCAAAGCCTAGTTAAGAAACTTTAAACGAAAAACAAGTCTTTTGTGTAGAGTGAATATAGTTACGCGAATTTTTAATAAGTAATTTAAACTTTGTTTCCAAACTTTTCAACATTTGGTTTAGCCAAACTATATATCGCTTTACTTACTATCGTTACAATAAATGGTTAATAATTTCTACACAAGTAAAATTTATTGTTTCACATTAATCTAATAAAATTCTATCCAGGAAAGAAATAAAGTATTTTAAGCTGACGTAATACATATGTAGCCGTTTGTAACATGAGAATCTGGCTTTCTTTATGAAAATAATTGCTCTATATTAACGTTGTTTCAGAAATGTTTACGTGTTCAAATCACCTTACTAAGACTGAGTTAAATGCTCGATAATTGACTTCAAGGTAAATAAGTGGGAAAATTTTAGTCACTACATTTAACGAATAATACTATTTTAACGATAATCAAAACTTTTTGACTGTGGTTGTAAAGTATTGAACAAGGAAAAAGAATATATAAGGTCAAAAATTTCATCGACGGGTATATAGAGAACATTCTAAGATAATATCAACTAACAGTGGAAGGTATCTTTTGACGAAACTTCATAACTCAGTTCCGAATATACCTAATTAATAAATGTTAGTTATTTTCATGGAATAGATGGAATGTAGCTAGCAGTAGGTTTCAGGAGGCACGTTTAGTCTTCTTCGTCCCTCGTCAGCTAGATATGTTAGTGTTATAGAGTTGATGTGCAAACTGGGACTGAACCCTGTACCTTTCATTTTAACTGATCTACAAGTTGTTCACTAAGCTACCGAATCCTGATGGCCACTAGCCTGTTCAACGAGTATGAACTGTAATGCTTTTGGTTATCATTTTGTTTACATTCCTGACTGGAGTTTGATCAGTCTTACTCGGCGTATATGCATTCTGTATGCATCGCTTCTGTGTAACTGTTATTTCATAAGTTTTTACAAAATAAATGAAATGTAGGCAGCAATGGGATAAGGTAAAACATGCATCCTGGGTTCTGCTCCAGGCAATATAAATAAAATACTATGAAAACTTGTGTCAATTAGGTAATACTGAGGATATTCGCCAAAAGTTATTAAATACGTCGACTAAAAGTGGTCACAATTCAGTCAAGAATACCAACAACGGAATGATTCAGACCATAACAAATTAAGCTAAATATTGACTGTATGATAGTGAGTAGAAGATTCAGAAATCTAATCACTGTACTTGAATTACTTATGAATATCTTGATCAGAGCCAACTTGAAGGTTTGTTAATTAATGAGTCTTGAGAACCAATGAAAAGTCTGGCATAAAATCAAAACTGGCAATCCCTAATTTTCAACAAACAGTCCATTGGCATAAAATTATGAAACCGACTGCGTCCAAACATTAAATTAATCTCTAGACCTCTAAACTAGAACCAAATAATAGTTGAGCCGTAATTGTCATACCTTTACAAACGCATGAACAGCTCATAGAAAATATACCAACAAAAACAGTCATTTTTGAAACCTTGGATTATAAAAAATAAGGGTAGGTACAAAAAGTGTGACAAATGCCGTTCATCAGTGCAAGCAGATAAATGCTTGTAAAAATAATCCAAGTTGTTTAATCGGGAATCACACACAGTCTTCACTGACTATAATTTCCTTGAGATATTTTAATTTTTTGTTTGAAACATGACAAATAACAGAAAAATGATTTGTCGATAGCGAATACATGACATGCTTAAAAAAAAACAATACCGACTGATTTATTGTTACCATTGTTGTTTAATTTAATTTAACTTCAATGTAACCCTGTGGACTCAAACGTTAATTTAAATTGATAAATTCACTTCTATATGGTTATCTAAACCGAAAATTTAATAAAACCTTGATATTTCAGGTAATTTACCAATATATTCGGTCATTACAAATGGATCTACAAAACAAATTAGCTGTAATTTGTCAACATTAAATATGTATAGTCTTTAAACTAGTCAGTTATATTTTAAATCATTATTTATCTGTATACATTTATATTATCGATACCCAAGAGGTAAAAAGCTAACTAAATGTGTTCATACAATCTTTTTGCTTAATATTTAACATTTAAACACACTTTTGATGAATATATGTTCCGATAGAACAATGAGACGACGGAGTTGATCCGAAAAATGTGATGTATTTGCGCTATACATTTCGAACAATCTGGTTACACATATACTTATCAGGGCATTTTCTATAAAAATTAATAAAGGCCAAATAAATGAAAGGTCAAAGGGAGAGAAACAATTTTACGTCGTATAGAAAAATAAGAAATGGTTGCGTTATCCTAGGCCATATAATGACTTAAGGATTACCAAGGTAAATTCAAGGTTACGACAAATTGTTTTTGTACACATAAGGGGAGTTCAAATTTACAAAGTCAAGGCTTCATCAAATTATCCAAATATGAACATATTTTACAAAAATTAATCAGCATTTATAATCAAGGAGAAGATATTTACTGAATATTTAGTCTTCCTCAGTTTACATTTTGTTTAAAGGTACATGTGCACCTACTTTATATCATGTGCCAAAATTTTAAACTCCATCAACAATGTGTGCAAAAATTAGTCGTTTATGACAACAAAAACTTACTATTGATATTGATTCTTTTTGGTGTATACAAGATTCAAAGTTAACATTGTTTAGTATCATACCTGAAACTTATAACTATCACTATAGTAACCGTAACACTAGTGATAATACACATAAAATTAATCGAATTCTATGAAAAAAGCTGGCGAAGAAGAAATAATGATATAAAAAGTCATATTATTATTATTATCATTATTATTATTTAAGGTCATTATTATACGATGTGGAATTTCGAATCGAAATTTTTAAAAAAATTCGAATAATCAAACTATTATTTAAAAGTTTCAAGAACTAATAGACAATGAAATTTGTCACGCCTTTTTAAAAAAAATCTATTTTATGATCAACTAGAAGCAGTTCAGTTTAAAATAAACAAGCTTTCTCATGGTCATTTAGAAAAATACAATAAAATAAGATTGATTGATGATAAATTTATGAAAAGTAGTTTTCGGTTTGAAGTTGCAAAATGTGCATATTCTGTCCGATTTCGTTACTTTGTTTTCGCGATATACACAAGTAAGTTGTATAACAAAAAAAGAAGAAAGAATTGTATTTCTGACGTTTCGTCACTTCATATAAGTCACTTCTACTCATTAAGTTATAATAAACATATATTTATTATTAACTGTCTACCTAATTTTCAATGTATTTAAATCTATCATGTTCACAACTTGGTTTTGATACGTAGAAACTAATCTTATTTATTTATGTAATTTTTTGGTACAAATGTATTTAAGTACGTATAGTGGTAGGAAAATAAAATTATTCGAGTCATACAAACTTTAAAAAAAGTAGGCTAGAATTTCATTATTGCAAAAACATTTCAACATTTCTTTTTATTCACAATAAAACATTTATCAAACAATTATTTCATTTACTTTATTTCGTCGAATATGGTTCATTTGAGAAAGAATACTTGACTAGTTTTATGTTGATATTGAGTTCAGAAAATCCCCAACGATTTCACGATAAAAAAACACTAAATGGATGATAAATAGACTTTATTTATTCATCATACATTTTCATTAAAATAATTAATCTAAAGTGTTTAGTAAATTAAAACCAGTTTCTGTTTCGTATCTAATTTAAGTTCATTTGTAATTAGCTGTGGCAAACAAGAGAAACACTTGTAAAATGACCTGGTTAATAATTACGAATGAAACCTTGTCAATTGTCGTGTTTCATAACTGAACATGGGGACTGGAAACACACCACTGGACTGACTACTTTCTAAATCTTCTACAAAGTAGAAGTCACTAGACTTTGGTTTAATATAAATGAATATATCTATGAAATTTTAAACCAATCAAGGCAATTTATAAGTTAGTGATTACAATGAAATGGATGATATTTTAATTGGTCCCTGAAAATTTTATCACAAGTAATTGTACTTGCAATTTGTCCAGGGATTTACGGAGGTAATAATTTTAACTTTCCTTAAATTATATTTGTTTTCAGTACTCTTCGTTTCTGCTCCATGATTCACCTGATCAGAGTATATTTGGGGATCAGAAAAATCTATATTACAATTTAGAAACAATAAGTATTGATAAACGTTTAGAAGCTATGGAAAAGAAATTGCGTAATCTCTTTGTTGAATCAAATACGTCAGCTTCACCAGATGTTTTGAATAAATATGCAGTAAAAATCGTTACAGAAACTTACCATCCAATTACAACATTCAATCAACACTGTGCAGAGTGTTGTAAAAGTACAAAACAAATATCTTCAAGATGGAATGATTGTTTACACTTAGATCTAAATGAATTGCGATCTTGTAGTCATTGTTTGAATCATTCAGCTCGTAGTAATTGTACAGTTCAAATGGTGGATATTCTCAACAAATGTAAAATTTTTATGTCACATTTTAAAGTTTCATACTATTTTAATGCTTTAATGTTTCATCTCATGTAAAATAATGAATTCACATAGATTGTTTTTCTAAACTTTTTTTAATTAACATAGTTTATATGAATAGTGTTTAACTACAATAGATGTTGGTAGGTGGTCTATGCTCCTCTACGAGGGGTAATAGACAGTATCTATCATTTACAATAGGTGATTTAAAGTCACTTAGTTTATTTATCTACCTTGGATCAACTCTTAACCATTAGATAATAATAATAAAGCATGATATCGGTTAATAAATAAAATATTTCACAATTATTTATTATGTTTACATCATGTTATATTGAGTTATCTATTTAAAAATGAAATAAAATTTTAATTTCTAATTATATATTACTTAAAATGAAAATTTCTCTTTAATATTTAAGTGATTTCATATAAAGTTGAATCAACAAAAAAAACTTGTTTATTCAGAAAAACAATCTAAACTTTAAGTTACTGATAATTGAGACCAAAACGAAATTTCTTTTAAACATCCAACACTGAAAACCAAAAAAATAAATTGCTGAGAAGTCCCATATTGGGACGAAACGGCCGTCCGGTGCTTCCAGGTTTTCCATGGTGGTCTAGCTTCCATTGACTCATGATTTCAACTATTGAAAAAAATTGATTGATGAAATAAGTATCCATATTATGAGTTAATGGCGAATGGTTTTTTTTTAATAAACCAGGACAATTTATACGAAAATTATTCAAAATTTAAATTAACAGTTAAATAGAAATAGGGAGAATCATTAGTATTTAAAAAAATGACATTAATGAGTTAAAAGGACTTTTCGTTTCTATTTTTAACACAAATATAAGTTCTCAGTATTCAGTTGTTGAGATTGTTGAATTTCATTGAAATCGTGGACTGACCAATGTTTGACGATCATTGAAAACCTGGCAGCACTGAATGACTGTTTCATCCTAGTGTGGAACTCCTCAGCAGTACGCATTCATGATTCCATATGTAGGACTAGAAACCCGAGGACTTTAGAAGGTGGGCTTTAACACTGTTAGATCCCGGATCAGTAGTCCAGAAGTTAAGTGTTCATGAGAGAACGAAGATTATGGGTTCATGTCCCGCGTGCACGATCGTGAGTGCTCACTGTTCAGAAATCGCATACTAAATTTAATCTTTCGTTCAGTGCTTCTAGGTATTCAGTGGTGGACTGACACTAAACGGCTTATGATTTCAAACAAATATTAACGCTGAAAGAAAATTAATTCTAAACATTTATACGAGTTTACTAAAAACTAATAAGTTTCATGTAAAATATCGTTCCAGTAAATTCACCCAAAAGTTATATTCTTGTATTCGTCTATGAAATTTGACGTTTGGTTCTCATAAAAAATATCAAGGAAACAATCTTTTATACTACTGATAATAGTACTACTAGTAAAAATCTAAATCATGGAAATTTTATAATAAAAGGATAGATTTTGTAAGATTTCACAGTGCTTACACAAAGCAGATGTGTATATGGCAAAAAAAATCAATACAAAACTAAAGAATGAATAGTATAATGTAGAGAACATATTTTAGTTCAGATAATTATGTTTCACTTGGATTTAATAAACATACTGAGAAGTAAATTTTGAAATCAAAGTTTAAGAAAGCAAACTTCGAAGAACATCAGAGTGAATATAACTATTTTCATAAGCAATAATTAAGGTATATGTTATATTAAGTGTCATACTCGACTTTTTATTATTTACTAATAATGTACTGATTGAATAGTATCATTTGGTTTAAAATGTATACTATAGTTGAAAGTTGGGAAAGATTGATACGACACTATGATATTAATGTTTCATACTTGTTTACACTTATTACCATATGTAGCACGTAATATAAGCGTTTACTTGGAAGCAGGAGCGATCTGAAACAACAACACAACAATTAGAACGCAGAGTACTAGCACGACAAATATATTTGAAAATTTGAAAGACGCGGATCGAATACACAAAAGAGAAAACTTATTACAAAATAATTTTATCCATCGTTCTGTAGGTTCGGCTTACGTAGAACTTGTTTCTCTTCTTCCAGTACATTTACTCTTTGTTGGCCTGCAATAAGAAAAAGAGATTCGCATTAGTAACGTCACATGTAATGATATTTGCTACTGTTACACATATGCATTCACGTAATATATTATTATTATTATATGAAATATATAGATAAACACACCCATGAGAATTTGATACTAATAATATCTTTAATAAATTTAATATCTAATTACTTTTCATTCTTTATACAGGTCAATATATTGATAAATCAGTTCAAACATTATGTAATGAATCAACAACTATTGTTACATATCCAAAATACTTTAATGAAAAAGCAACAATTACAAATGAAAATCAAATTATTTCAAAATTGAAAATGAATAATCAATTAACTTCATTTATGTAATAATATCCATTTAAATTTAATTGATTTTTATTTATTTATTTTTTTATAGTTTCCCCCCTAATAATCATTCACATATTAATCGATCAATAATCGATCGAAACGGTATTTCAAAAGATAATGATGATGGTGATAATGAATCTGTATCTAAAGTAATTTTTTATAAATTTTTATTAACTAAGTGAATAACAATTTTTTTTATAATTAGTTTACATCTAGTGAATGCCTTGATATTATTGTAACACCCGATTTTGAGAAGGATAGATTGGAACAAACTGATTATTTAAAAATTCAATTAGATAATAATCAACATATCGGTTTGGATCAAATAAGACAAACACAAAGTGTAAGTAGAAAATTTTGATAGATAAAGTTTATCTGGCAATGCCTTTAATAATTTGAAATAGTCAATATATATATATATATATATATATATATATATATATACATATATATATATATATATTACGGAAACTGGGAACCTTCCTACAACCTTATCCATCATTCTAAAGACCCTTTTGCATATATTTTTTAAATACACTCGTTTGGAATTCTAACGCCTGTTTTAAATTCACTTTCATTTGTTTAGATATAATTAATTATCTATATGGCTAGAATATTTTTAAGTAATAGTGATACATTAAAATGATGATGATGAAACCAGTCATGATAGTTCCTACAATTGATTGATCACTGCTCAGTGATCAATGTCATATATGTCCATTACTTTTCAGTGTTGCTTAAGTTGTAATGTGGTCATCAGTATATGTGACTCACCATCGCATGAACTATGTTAAAATGTACTGTGACGGTCAAAGTTAGTCGACAGTATATTTGTATTTCTTTATTTTATTTGCAAACTTGAGTATATCTCTTAAAAACATACTTAGTCATCTGTGTAGAATGTTAGGTAAAACAACTAATTGGAATATGATTAGTTGAGTGTTGAATATAGTGGGACATGATTAAAATTCATGGTCTATAACTTAACTTACACAAAATTGGTGAAACATTTCACATCTCTCTGAATGTACCATTCAAATTTGCTTGAACTATGTGTTTACCTTCTAGTCTTTTGAAAGACTTGGTTAATTCGTCTCTTATTTTTTGTTCTCTGTTTTATGTATTCTACTGATTATATTAGTGGTTTTAGCCGGAACCAATGTGATGTGTAAAAGGGCTATATTGATATAGATAACTTATAAAAACAAAAATATATGCTTGAAAATTTTAATCGATCAGTGCTCGGAGATTTGGTTGATTTCCTTTGATATCCAACTAGAAAAAACTTTAAAACTACAGAAGACTGAAGATTACTTTCCTCCTTCCCAAGGCTAAATTGTGCCATGATCACCCTGAGACTAAAATCTTATGCGATTAATCTCGCCCAAAGTCACAATTAAACACTGCTAACCAGCCTAAATCTATAATGAAACAGCTTCTTATAACTCTTTGTTTCTCAATTATTTTCTAGTCCGCTGTGCAAATTTATCCCAATATTTGGTTAGTCACTATGTTATTCAGTATCTTGTTCCGCTGACATGGTATAGTATGATATAGTAATGACAAGAGCTATTTACAAATAAATATTTCACTGTTAAAATGATTTGATGATATAATCTATTTGTGTTAAAGATTGAATCACATGTATGTTCAGATGCATACCAAAGGATTTTATTAACCTATAGTATTAGATAGCTTAGTGACAAGGCTTTTATTACCATGATCAATCACATTCACATGGCAGACATTGAAAAAAGAAGTGGATTTATACGTAGCTCCCTCGTTGGCATAACACATCCTAATCATTATAATCTAAAATACCTATTCATACATTGGTCACAGTTGATTCCCCATCTACAAACAAGATAGATTATCTTATCAGGAGACGACGAAGTGGAATTTTTTATTTTCCACGGAATTATCTGAGCGGTTAACTCTGCCTTTTACTCAATAAATGATGTGGATATTAATCTTTACGACACTCGTCTGCTAATTTGTTTTTTCAATCTGAGTTTTCAAGTTCTTTTTATATAAGTCTCGTACCTACTTCTTTCATACACAAAAGTAGTGAGTGATAGTGTACAGTATTATTTATGAACAGATATTGTAAACTAAGTAGAAACCACCAAATTTCGGCAAAATAGCAATTATAAGTAACTAGAAGTATCATAAATCGACGCATCTTTCGCGTTACTGGAATACTTTAAATTAATAAACTATTGACATGCATTTTGTTTTAGTTCGAATCTGGATTGAACAATGAAGAGAATTATATTGATATTGATAAAATTCCTGCCACTTCAAGATCATATAAACAAAACAAAACTTTCGAACCTAACCTTCATTATGGAACTATGGAACCGAGTATTCACAATTCTCGAAAACAATCTACATTAGAATCGTCTTTCGAAACAATATATGATCAGACAAAATTGTGCTATAAACTTTAATACGTAAAAGTAAGATGTATTTTAATATAACACGATCATGCGGCTACTAGATTTAAAAAACTTGATGAAACGATAGTATTATTTTTACTAATGAAAATACCTAATCTCTTGATCAAAATTTTTAATTCAGTGGATTTTTACAATATCAACACTTAGTTAGTTATTGCAATGGTCAACAAAGAGAAGACAGGTGCTACTTCAATTGTAGTTGTCCCCTTTAATATTCTGCCCGACAAAGTCTTCAAAATACTTAACGATCAAAACACTGATGATTTAATGTATACTAGTGTGAAAATAAAAGTCGGAGATTTAAATAGTATACTAGTAACAGCGAGCGATTCGAAAGTGGAGGGATGACAAGTTATTATTGACTAGCAAGAAAAACAAACAAACCTACATTCGATACGTTAATAATAAACATACTCATGGGAAACCTCGGTATATAATAGTCAGATTATAAGTTTGATCGAGAGACGCAATAAATCTGCACCGTGTTCGACACCCGTATGATGAAATAATTTCAAAAAATCCTAACTGATAACTAAAGTACACTGGTCGGCAACAAGAAACTTAGAATCCTGGGAAATGTGCAGGAGTAATAGCATAGTGAACACTAGGAAACCTTATACCATTTTTTTACTAAACCTTAATGTTGTAGATATTTAAATTACTGGCTGTCAGTACTGTGTAGAATATTTTACTTAACTAAACATTTATGCCATAGTTTCGGAGTAATAGACAAATCTTTCCATTGTTTTCCTTTCATCTTAGGTTTATTCGGAATTTGTAATTTTCACAGCCAACCAAGTATCGACGATTATTTGAACAGAAATTATCTAAGAAAAATAAAATAAAAGTTATTCTTGAACAATAGTTTTTTTTAAATATTTGACTCTAAATAGTCTATTTCTTGCAAGAAAATGATAAACTCAGTGCTATGCTGATGACTACAGGAATTTTCAGTATTTAGTAATGTACTATTGACATAACTCCACCAGTAGCTCTTCTGCCGGTCCCAAGCCTGGGTAAAGGAGTAGGAGTGGGATGATGTTATCAACCCCATCCCGTAGAAAACAGACTTGCTAAGAAAACGCTAACCAGATTAAACAAATTAAACCATTTAAACTCTGCCCCCGGATTTAAAGGGAGAATTATAACGCTTCATAATGAAAGCCGAGATTCTTCGGACGTCACGCGGCCGATGTCCCTTCTAACAATCAGATCAACAATTTTTATAGGTACATGGAACGTCCGAACAACGTGAGAGACCGGGAGGACCAATCAAATAGCAACGGAAATGTGGAGATACAAATTATCGGTACTCGAAATTAGCGAAACCCAGTGAACCCAAGCTGGACATAAAAGGTTAGGTACAGGAGAGATGCTGCTGGAATTCGGTAACGAATAGAAAAATGCTCCACATACTCCGGAAGTTGTGCTGTGCAAAAAGCACGTAATGCGCTTATAGGATTGTAATCTCACAGATCAAGGATCATCAAAGTATCCTTCAAAACAAAGAGTCAGTCAGCTACAACGTAGGACCAGGCACATATATGCATCGATCGAAGTTGTCATGAGACAACTATATGACACGACGAAGAAACTGTTAGGGAAATACAGAAAACCAGAGAGGCCGGCCAAGGAAAATCACCGAGATTCGAGGACAGAGGGGTGGAACATTTTGAGAAACTCTTGAATAGGTCAGCTCCATTGAGTCCACCGGATATTGAGGCAGCACCTACAGACCTTCTCACAGATGTCACTCCACCAACTACGGAGGAAATAGGGATGGCCATCAGACAAATCAAGAGCGGGAAAGCAACAGGATCTGGCAATATACCAGCTGAATCTCTCAAGTCAGACATAGAAGTAACTGCAGGTATGCTACACGTTCTGTTTGGGAAGATTTGGGAGGAAGTACAAATGCCGATGGACTGGAATCAAGGACACCTCATCAAGACACTAAATAAAGATCCGAGGAAGATCAGAGGAATCACACTACTGTTAGTACCAGAAAAAGTTTGCGACAGTGTTTTCGAACCGGATAAAAATTTAGTAGACGCCCAACTTCCAGACCAAAAAGCAAGATTCTGTAAGGATCGGTCGTGCACAGACCAAGTCGCGACACTCCGGATCATCGTTGAACAATTAGTTGAGTGGAACTAGTCACTATATATCAACTTTATTGACTATGAGAAGGCGTTTGACGGTGTGGATAGAAGGATTTTATGGAAACTTCTTCGACATTATGGACCACCTGAGAAGATCGTCAACACCATCCGAAATTCATACGACGGACTACAGTTAAAAGTCGCGCATGGAGGACAGATGCATTCCAAGTGAGGACTGTAGTCAGACAAGGCTGCTTACTCTCACCCTTCCTCTTTCTTCTCGTGGTCGACTGGATTATGAAGACCTCGACATTCGAGGGAAAACAGAGAATAAAATGCACAGCTCGGAATCAATTAGAAGATTTGGACTTCGCAGACGACTTCTCCCTTCTATCCCATACATACGAACAAATGCGGATGGAGGAAGCTAGTGTAGTAGCAATCTCTGCATCAGTAGGCCTCAATATACACAAATAAAAAAGCAAGTTTCTCAAATACAAGGCGGAGAACACCAACCCAGTCACACTTGATGGAAGAGCTCTGAGAAGCATCATCAATAAACATGAGGATCCGATGCAGACCCAAAAGGCAAGGACTGGCAAAGCAAGGGCCGCATCCCTACAATTGAAGAACAGGTGGAACTCAAAACAACTGTCAACCAATATCAAAGTCACAATCTTCAATACGAACGTCAAGACAATCCTACAGTACAGAGCTGAAACTTGGAGAGCCACTACAACCATCATCAAAGAAGTACAGATATTCACAAACAACTGTCTACCCAAGATATTCAATATCGGTTGACCGGATACCATCGGCAACAGCCTTCTGTGAGAGAGGACGAACCAGCCTCCAGATGAAGAGGAAATTAGGAAAGGGTGTTGGAAGTGGATAGGACATACATTGTGGAAATCACCAGACTGCATCATGATGCAAACCCTAGCTTGGAATCCTGAGGGGAAACGGAAATGAGGAAGGTTGAAGAACACACTGTTTCGGGAATTAAAAGCAAACATGAAAAGGATTGCCCAAGACAGGGTTCGATGGAGAGTGCCGGTGGTTGGCCTATGCTTCTCCACGATAGGTAACAGGCGTAAGGAAACTATTGACAGATTAAACATAAATATATAAAAAGATCCGCCGTTACGACCTTCAGGTGATATAAACAAAGATAATATCTAATTGTGAAACTTTGGAGGTTAATTTGAATGAACATATGCGCAAAATCTGTATTCAACAGCTACACAAGTTATGAATAACGAAGAGAACAGGTCCTTAATTAAAAGTCATTGAATAGAAAATAGCGAGCATACATGTGTTGTAATTGTGATGTTTCAAAAGAGAGTTAAATAATGTACAAATAAGTATGTATGGAAATGATGTCCACTCTGGGATGCAGGTACGTCTAACTGACGAGTCCCGAATAGGACGGTACGCGCGTTCTGGATTCAGCTGCTAACCACCATCCATATTTTCAATTTAAATCTTTTAAAATACACGTATCTGATCAGCTACAGTCAACTATACGCTATATCAAATAGTATGAAACCAGTGATTTGTGGTATACCATTTTCAGTGAATATCAACTCGTTTATACATTTGTGTCTGAAAACTGACGCATCTTACACTCTACTAAAAATACTAAGCAAAAAACAAACGATTCATTAATAGCTAATAAGGGCGGCCTGCTTGAGCATCTGGGCTACCTGTTCCTGCCATCTAGATACTTCAACAAGTTATCTATTTTTGTTTGTTTTAATATATCATTATGTTTATTAATCGCATAGCCTATTCTACTGCGTTTCTGAAAACTGTACAACCTTCCGTTGTCAATGTTACAAAAAACTCAATAAGAGACAATGTGGTTACTGGCAATATACAACGAAAAGAATGCACATTACTCAGATGTTCATTTACCGAACTGCTAACATCTAACTGGCGATCACTCACTATTTATCGCCAGGACCGACCAGGAAGAAAGAAACGGAAACATGTTGAAATACTTTGTGCCGAGAATTCTATATTGTACCAAAAATATGATATTGAATAAAGCTGATAATAATAATACTAACATATGTGAATTTATTGAAGACCATGATGATTAATGCAAACACGGATAATTATTGTTTGGTTTATTAAATTAATAAGTTTGATTATTTCAATGAATACAAAAGATTGTTTTCGTCAGAAAAAATTTATTTAAACTATATAAACATCTCATATACAATAATTCAGTAAAAAAAATTACAGACCACCGGCAAAAAGACTGCCCATAAATTCAGGGTTCGAAACAGCTGAGAAGCCAAGACATCCTTCAGGCGGTGTACGACTAGAATGAGCAAGTTTTTCTTTGATTTCATCTTCTGTAAGCTTTTGACGTCGATTCAATCGGACTGGTTTTCTTTCAGTAAATCTAGAACGACGGAAAATTTAACTAAGATTTTCTACTGGATATAAATAAAATAAATAAATATAAAATAAAATAGGATTGGATTAGACAGGTAGAGAACTTAAGGATCATGTGAATATTACTAAGTTTCCGTGTCTTTTAATGCACCAAACAATGGGATGTTAGTGTTAATGATCGTTTGCAAAATTATTTTGAAAGCTTAATGGTAAACAGTGTTAATTTGTGATTGTCTACGGCTATAAGAACAGTTCTGGGGAGAATATGAGGTTACATTCCAGATCTATTTATCTGTATCAATATGCTTAACCCCCAAATGAAAGAAAAACACTTTTGCTGAGCATCTACGGGCAATTTAAGAAGTAAATATTAAGTTAAGTATATAGAAGTACAGTACATAGGGCTCAACGTTAAACCATTTGTAGGACTTCATATGTTTAGTTTGGTTTACCAATAATTTAGTGAGGGATTTCAAAAGGTTGGCGGATGGTAATATTTGATTATGGGGTATGAAAAACGAGGTTATGCTCCCAATGAAAAGCCAATAATAAGCGTTTCCCGAACTCATTGCAAGTATTACCAATATATTCCTCTGACAATACATAAAACTTAAGTAAGACA